TTTTCCCACTTCACAGAGATGACAAGAGGACGATTCGCAGAAACGCAACACCATAGTTCATGCAGTCAAGCATGTAGCAGTTGTCCTGTGATGTCTATCCAGGGACCCACACTAGTCTAAGATGTGCTTGGAGCACAGTCAGTAACAAGCCTTTCAGAAGTCTCTGTGACTGAGCTCGGCACTAGGGGAAGATGGACTTGAATTCACGCAAATCGAAAACATACAAAAACGTGCAACCAAAACAGTGTTAGAAAGGGACATGTTTGATGTGACACTAGTGATCTGGCCAAGCCAGGCAGAAGTAGGTGACACCACAGCATTACTACTAAGACTTGAACTTTGGAAACAGTTTTATAATTAAAGAGATCACATTTTTTGTGCTTGGCTGATTTTTCAGCCAATCTTGATCATGCTCTGTATAGACTATGAGGAGAGATTTTTTTTCCCCTACAAATATTGAACAGACATACAGAAGAAGCCTCAATCAGCAAGTGCTGTAAGCAGAGTGTGTGCTAGGCCCAGGAGGTAAGGAGATCACATTTTCTGCTTCTCATTGGGGCTATTCAAGGTCTAAGAGACCGACTCTAGAGGGAAGCCGAAGGCAGCTGTGTAATAGGCTGTACTAAAGGCGGAACTAAGCCCCATATAACTAGTCATGAGGCCTCTGGCCCAGAAAAAATATCCAGGCAGATCACTGAAGGGAAGCTTGCTTTCTCTTTTACTTTCTACCCCATTGGACTCACCCCTGGATTGAGCCTGGCTTTCCTGGCATGGGTGCAGCTCTCCAGCTGGCTATTTAGCCTCACTGATCTTAGTCTCTGACATCACTCAATTTTTCTGAAGTACCCAGGCTCCCCAACTGTTCCTTCAACTCAAATACAAATCCAAGTTTCTGCTTGATGACGTACATACTAAATGCTTCTGTGAGAGGACACCAGTAGTCAGAGGAGATCCAGATTTGAATATTGGTTCTGTTAATTATCAGATGGTAGAAGATAAATTAGCTTAATCTTCCTGAACTTCTGTTTCCGCATCTCTAAATTGGGACTGATAACACCTATTTCCAAGGAAAGCTGTGACCATCCATTCACACATCCGGTGATTGTTTACCGAATGGATGTCTACTTCCTACTCTTAACGCCACACATTTCATGTAGACATGAAGAGCTGATGCAGTGGATTACTACATCTATGAATGTGTTGAGAACAGTTAATATTTTCCACATATGAATGAAGTATTCCTGTTCACACTGAAAAGATTAGAAGTACAGCCATGACTCCAAGCCTACGATGTTCATTCTTATTTCTGGCCTGGAATGAAGGAGTGGACAAATGAAGAGGGGTAAGCTTGAGCATGACCAGCGCACGGTGCAGCTACCCCAGGTATTTTCATAGTTTCAGCACTTGGTGCTGGCACTAGGTGGTCAGAGGTCCTCTGGTGAAGCACTGTCCACTGTCTTGGTCATCTGAGATACCTATAACCTGAGGGAGATTATAATTATAATTTGCGATCATTTCAAGAGTCAGCAGTCCAAGTCTCCCTGGTTACTTCTCATGCTCTCTGTGCAGTTACCTCTGGCTGGAGAATGCGGAGCACTGCTCTAATACATAACCTCCTGCGGGGCTGTGCTCCCGAGGGATGCACAGCTGCTGCAGGCAAAGCAAACGCCCGCACTTCACAGATTCACGATGCAGTGGCAGAAGACAGAGGAGTAGAGAGAAAGGGCCTCGAAATGGAGCCAGTTTTCATGCTGTTGGAGGCAGAGGACAGAGCGTCTGAAGCAACAGACGGTTCTCACAAATGTGTTCCCCACGGTAAAAATGAGCAAAGACGTGGCTAGGTCTTTCCACGTGAGTTCCAGGTGTTCCAGGTTCACTGCAAAACAACAGAAAGGCTTGTATGTGCGTTCAAGTCCTGTTTCAGTGGAGTTTGCTTCCTTCGGAGGGAGATGCTATAAGACGTCAATGATCTGAGTCCATACAAGAATAATTCCCTATCTATCCTTTATCTATCAATTTATCTATCATCTACCTATATACCTATCTATCACCTATCTATCTACCTAACATCCATCATCTACCTATCATCTATCCATCTGTCTATCATCCATCTCTCATCTATCTATCTATCTATCTATCTACCTCTCTCCATTTACCTCTCTATCTAGGATCTCATGTGGCCCAGGCTGGCTGGCTGTGCAGCTGAAGATGTCCCTGAACTTCTGATCCCCCTGTCTCTACCTCCTCATATGCTGCCTTTCCCAGTTTATGCAATACTGGGGATCAAACCCAGGACGTCATGCATGCTAGGCAAGCACACTACCAACTAAGCTACATCCTCATCCCAAAAAATACTCTTTATAGAAAATATAATTATAGAACATCATCTTGGAATAAATCTTCAAAAAGAAAGAGGCCACTCTTGTTTTCTGTCCCATTAAGATCACCCGTGGTACAGCTTCTCCCCAGGGCTCACACTTCTGTGCCAAACAGCGCTTTCCCTTGGTCTCATCCTTCTCAAGGGCAGAGTTTGTATCACCCAACCTAATCCCAATCACTCAGCATACAGTCCTCTTTTGAAATTGTTTAATGAATACTTTCAGAAATGATCGAATCTTTGAGGCTACTCCCAAACCCAGATCCCCGTGAGAAAGCCAGAGGCACATCATCTGGGTTCTGAGCTCTCGGGGGTGTCGGCCCTCGGAGGCAGCTTTGCACAGGTACCAGAAGAGAGTCTTGAGTGGTACTGGAGAAACCAGCAGTTCTCAAACTCTCAAATGGAGAAGAAACTAAGCCAGACTTCACTAATCTCAGGGAAGTAGCTGCTCCTGGAGACAGCCCTGAGGGAGCACACTTCCTTCTGTGGTCCCTGCGGCCTCCCTGGCTGTTGGGTTGGTGCATTAAGTGCTGCGGTGGTAATGATGCAGAGGCTACCATGGGCTGCACAGACCACCGGCGCAATGCATGACAGCAACATCTGTGGCTCTGCCTCATTGAAGGGCAGGAAGCTGAAAGCCAACTCCTCCAGAATGAGGGCCACAGAGAAGACGCTCAGGGGAGCCAGGGAGTATCTGAATGGGCTCCCCTGAGAACATCGCAGAGCTTTGCCAGTGAACATTCTAGTTCATTTCTTCCCAGTTCTATAGCAGCAGGACAGACCTGGTTTCAGTGGGCACATCAGGGAGTCACAAGTCCAGGGAGTGGCTGAGCCCTCTGAGAATGTGTAAAATACAGACAGAGGCATGCCGATTTGAGCCCTAGTACTGAAGCCTGCAGGGAAACAAAGCAGAGATTTTTATATGTGACATACATGATCAGTAGAAAATAAAGTTATTAAGGGGCTACAGATGTAGCTTAGTCGGTAGAGTTCTCACTTAGTCCTGGGTTTAAGCCTAGGTATTACATTAAATAAATAAAATATTAAATAAAGTTATTAATTTGAAGCTTGAAAGTAAGTCACTAGGAATTTAGCATAAATTTTCATAAGTTTGAAGTATTTTTGTCCTGTTTTCTTGTTTAGAGTTGGGGAACATTACACTTGGTGCTCAAGTTAGATTTCGTTCAGTGTTTGTTCAACTCAAAGTTAATCTGATTAAAGCTTAGGTTTTGGATTACTCAGATTCAACTACTGCAAGAAATATAAGCAATTCCCAGAGTAATCAAGTCTGACTACTTATTTTGATTTGCATTTAAGTAGAGTATACTTTGCCTAAATTCAGGTGGGAGCTACACAACATAGTGAGGGCGGCTCACAGCAAAGTCCCGGGGGAGCCAAGCATTACCGTCTTCATGATTACAGAGATGTTTGGTACTGGGGAAAGCACACAGCGGTGGGAACACTAACCAGCCTCTTGCAGTATGAAGTTGCCCACCCATCTCGTGATCACTGCAATTCTTTCACTCAGACCTGGAACTAGTCAGCCAGAAGGCAGAATCTGGATTCTTCCTCACCATAAAAGAATTCATATTTAGAGAGAAAATTTCTTCAGGTTGGCTTAATCCCATAAAGATCTGTACTTCACAGGCCTGTGAACCACGTCATGTGGCTGGGACACGCCTGTGTTCAAGTATCAGAGAAAGAATGCTCCATAGTGCTGCCCTTTTGAAGGAGATTCAAACAATCAGTCTTCTTAGAGAAGCTCACGTGCATGGAAATTGATACATCGGTGCAAAAGTTCCTCATAGAGACAGAGGGAGTCATTTAAGAAACAGAAAAATAGACTTTAAATAAGGTGGTGGGAGGGGACATGGTCTGAATGGCAGAAACAGGGAAGTAAGGGCCAGGGTGCATGGTTAGGAAAAGGCTGGAACAGAGACAGACATCCGTGGATTCAGAACACCAACCTCTTCAAGTGAGAGCCTCTGGTTCTGTGTCTGGGAGACACTGTTGGGAAGTCAAATTAGTATCAAACAAGAGTGGATCCTATATGGAGGCCCAGGTACATTCCTAAACTGTGGCTGCCATTGCTGGCTTTTGAATGCTCTTCTAAGTACTATCCTCTAGTCTCCTCATTCAAAGGACGCTATCTGTCTTGATTGTCCATGGGAACAGAAATATAGTGTTGACTTGCACTGTAGCATTTCTTCACGGGAATTATCTGACAACAGCGTCTGAAATACCTGAGGTATATAAACTAACCAGCTTACCCAGAATCCCGTGGAATCTCTCAGTCCACTTCTGGTTCACTCTTTCTTGACTTTCACAGAAGAAATGCCTTTGCTGTGATAGGTTTAATTTGTAAACTGGGAAGAGTTCACATGAAAGGCATGTGGACAGCAGGCTAGTTGGTGATGTAGCCCAGCAGAACTGTCTCACCCCATCTCCTCCCTCAGAGCTACCAGTGTAAGGAATGTATCATGACCGCATTAACACCAAGCTATGTGTTCACATCTGTGTGGTCATACCACAACCTACAAGTTGGGACGGCAATGCCACCTAAGCAAAACCTGAAACTGATGTTCAAGATACATAATTACCTAGACTATATTCTGTCTTCTAGGCTCTTCAATGGCCAACAAGGAATTATTATTCAAAATTTCAGCACAAGATCCATTCTTACGGTTACCAACGTGACCCAGGAGCACTTCGGCAACTATACCTGTGTGGCTGCCAACAAGCTGGGAACAACCAACGCGAGCCTGCCCCTCAACCGTAAGTAAAGCGGTGCTGCAGAACACCCCCTGGGGCCTCCTGGCTCCTCAGAGGCAGAGATGAGGGGTACGATGCACCACGCTAACCTTAGACCTCGGCCTGATAGAATGCACTCCTTAAAACAGGAAACAATGTTCTGAAATTATCTGCGTGTCTGAGAGCTTTCTACATGTACGATAGAAAAGGGCCTCAGAGACGAGGAAAAGGACAATCACACAAACAGTCGACACATGTCTCCAACTGACGATAGTTACAGGGGTTTTGTGAGGATTTGGATTTTTCATACGTGCTCTCTTAGAGCATAGATTAATCGTGGATTGAATTTACTCTTGGTCAGTTTTCTTTCATCTTGCAACAACCAGAATTTCATATGCTATAAATGAAATGAAATCGTAAGTAAGCAACCACAGACAGAGTAGTTTATCCTTCTAGATAACACCATTACTCCAAACTCTACCTTGAACAATGAAAGAGTTCATTAAGATAAATACTACATTGCCAGTGTGCTTGAATGCCTCTTGTTGAGCGTAAAGTCAAAAGCAAGCCAGGCCAAAGGGTGAAGGAGGAGAGAAGGGTTCCCTGCACTGATAAAGTGAGTCTGGGAGTATTTGCAAAGCAAATTGCAAAGCAATTCCTCCAGCTACAAAAGGATGTATGGGGATTTTATTTGAGGGGCCTGTACATATGTCTCTAGGTGAGCATTTGAGGGTGGCCTCGTCTGAGCATGCTCACTTAGGGAACAGATGAAGGTCACAAGGTGGTGAACACACTTGGGGACAAGCCAAGCTCAAGGACATGGACACATGGTCCCAAGACTTAAATGGCAAACAGATGCGCCTCTGGTGTGCTCCATTTTCTCCAGAAAGTTTTAATGGATAAAAGGAGGGGCAACTTTGAAGATGCATTCGTGCAGGCGCCTGTGGGTCTTTGGAGATGACTCTGACTCATCTTAGGGACCAGAAAGAAGTGAACAGTGTCCTGAGGGACCAGTGTAGGAGAGAGAACTCTACCCTACTTTTTCTATCAGCAATTACTTTTACCACCCTGTAGAAGCTGAGTGACTTACAAATTGTTGTAGCCATAAGTTATGACTCATTTTTAAATGAAGCATTTCTCAATACATTCAGGGAAGACTGCAGACACACTGCCTCCTCAACTCCACAAGGTCGCCCGAACCATTCTGTTCTCATAGCTAATATTCTTACTCTGACCTGCTTTATGGCATCTTGTGATAGACGTTATGGGGGGAAAGTAAATATTGTGCAGTTCATCACATAGGGGGACTTTTCCATTTTGCAGAATGTGATTTAGGATGGTTCTACTAATAGGAAATATTATGTAGTATGATGGTGATCTACAAATTTTGAACTGGCATGATTTAAGAACTTCTGACCCAGGTTAAAACATGTTTAACCCACACTCATTATTTTAACTGAATATTTTTTAATATTTATTGGTGCTCAGTTTTGAAAGAAAAATATTTTTTGGCATGCAATGGCTTTCCTGTGGAATTCTTCCAAGTTTCTCCTTATAAAGATGTTTTATTTAGTGTCATTTTAAACATAAGCCACTGAAGATATTAGGAACCATTTGAATTTTAATTGAATGTAAATATTCACACTTCTGTGGTATAGTGTTAATATTTGGGGGGGGGTCTTTTTGAGACAGGGTCTCCCTGTAGCCCCAGCTGTCCTGGAATTCACTATGTAGACCAGGCTGGCCTTGAACTCACAGAGATCTGCCTCACCATACCTGGCTATTGTTAATATTTTAAGTTGCTTAAATATTCAAGAATCTGAAAGAATGAATTTTGAAAGAAAAGAAAAATTTAAGGTTTAGTAACATATGAACTTTTGCTATCTAAATTTATAAATCACATCCTATTTTCAAAAACGAAGTATGCATCAGTAGACAAATTAGGAACAAATGTCATTTATTTAAGTGTTTGTTTCACTCTGGCAACCTTAACACTCTGGACGTAATACATGGTGGAAAATGCTTCTGAATGTGGAACCTTCAGCAGGAGAGATTCTGTCTCCCTTCTCCCTCCCCTCTCTGGCAGACATTTTGTATGTGGAGGTACTAACAACGTTTTGAATGATTTTTTAACAAAGACAGAGCTTGTCTATAATGATGAGCTGGTCCTAGAAGATCGATGGTGTATGTCTATGCAGAGCTCTATCCTGGAAACATCTGAAGCAGAATTTCTATTTTGAGCTATAACAGTTGCTTTTGTTTTATTTCTACTTTATGTTTGGTGATGCTGTGGTTCAAACCCGTGATCTGTGCACACCGGGTGTCGCAGCACAGGAGCAACACCTGCAGCCATGACAGTTATTTTCATATACTCTTTATCTTTCTGTTGACTCGTGTGGTCTTTCAGAAGACTGGATTGATGTCTTATAAATCACTTTAGCTTCCATATCACCAAGAAAATACCTACTCAAAAGGAAATTAGTAAATCTTTAGTGAATAAAGAAATTAAGCACCGAGAAAGTAGATGAGTGAACTGAGCCCTGTTAAGCTACGGAATTTCCTCCACACCTCTAGATACCGGGCCACACCACTGAAGGCAGAGATAGAATTTGCTATTATTTTATTCTGGGCTAGATTCTATTCTAATTTCTTTAAAGGAATTTGTCCATTAAATTATCACACAATTCAAAGGCTGAAATTCTCTAATTCCCTCTCTTGCAGATAAGGAAACTTAGAGAGTGAATATAAATTGACAGAGGTCATCAGATTAGTCGGTAGCAGCTGAAACTTGCAGTTTGGCTTCGGAGCATGGTCTCAGCCATGCCGGGCTAATGCCTGCTTCTGTGGCACTCTTTCAGCAGAAGGAGAGAGAACCGTGGCCATTTGCAGCACACTGATTGAAAAATGAATCTTTGCGTGCAATTGTCCTGCTTGTGCTTTTTATCAATTTGGGTTTAATAGGGCGCTCGTCTTTATTATATGAAAATATATTTTAAAACTAAATGTTCACATGGTCCTAGATTAAAAATGCCTGCCATTCCCTACCTTCTCAGAACAGGAAAACCTGTCTCTGAATCAAAATCAGTGGCAGTCCTGAGCTGACCCACCTGGGCTTTGACCCGAGGGATGATTTGTTAATTGCAAGAAATCTGCCTTCTCCATAATTAATGAAGTGTTTAGTGCTCCGTTTTCCCATCTCTTTGTTCAGGAGAAAGAAAGTAGACTCTAAACAGTCATATATGGTCAATACTTGCTAATATCTAGTATATGTTTTAAATAAGAAAATTGTCAGGGTTTTATGATTTATATCATTGAATACTTAAGGTCAAAGACAGGAAGACATCACTCTGATCAATAGGAAACACACAAAATGGGGTACAATAACATTCCAGCAGGGATTTAGCTCCTAGAAATCAGCCACTTGTCCATAGTCTTTAGGAAGAACACCCAAGAATATTTCTGTCTACTTCTGTTTATAGAAAGTCACATATTCCAGATCACCAAAGAAATAAAAGGGTAGTCTGCAAGCTCAGAGATGAGCCATAACCAAGACTATGTGTATATATAAGGGGCGGGAGGCAGAGGGAGAGATAGTGCATGCTTTCACATAATGGGAGTCAAGCAGATCTTAATGTCTTGGTCGATCAAATACACATTAGCTGTAGGGTGCTTTGTGTAAGTTACCTAAATTCCAACCACCCAGCTTACTCATTTATAAACCAAGGGCAATGGTAGCCCCCACTTCACAGGGTAGGAGTTGAGTGAGATAACCCATCTAATGCACGTCACTCAGCCTGGAACAAAGGAGGCTTTCAGGAAATGTAGCCATTGTTACTATACCATTACATATAGCACTTAGTTCAGGGCATTGGAAAGAGCAGTATGGGGGTAAATGACCATTTGATGATTGTCTGCCTACCACTTTGCTGAGGGTTTATGTGGTAAGCAGTCCACTTGTGAGCCATGGAGAGGAAAGAAAACGTGAAATGATATCCCAACTCTACCTCATCACTTTATCTCATGGCTCTCAGTGCACTAACCACGATTTGTGATATTAATTCTGTGTTGAATGTCATGTGTTCAGCATAACCGTTCTAGGAGCCTCGACCTGAAAAGGGAAAACTGATACTCAGCTCGGTGTAGAGGCTCTTATAACAGACCCAGAGACTGCACCCACTCAGGTATGTATGTGGATTGCCCACAATGCACAAAGCCCTGCGGCACCTATTGGGAAGAAACAGAATCAGCATTTAGAACCTGGCCACAAGGAGTTCTCAGACAAGTGAGAGGAAGAAGATGCACAGCTCAGTACAATCCAGTCCAAAGCAGGGAAGAGGCTCCAATCGAGCCTCGAGGGCCACGAAAGGACTGTCCCTTTAAGAGCTGATGCCACCGTTCAGGTGCAGCTGAAATACCACCTGAAGCAGAATCTTCAAGAATTCACTCAACAGCAATCAGGAGCACAGATGTGGTGATGCAAATCAGCGGATGGTCAGGTCTCTATCGGGACCAGAGTTCAGCCTGAGAGGTGGGTTCCTGGAGAAAGGGGCTTGACTGGGTCAATTGTAAGTACAGGGGAATGAAGCTAGGCGATCAAGGGACAGTCCCATAGAGCGCTCCTGTAGAGACAGGGCAGGACAAAGCCACCGGGCCCATTTGGAGACACCGTGGTTCTTTCCAAGGGCCAGAGTAAGAAAGAAGAAGGTGAAGCTCAAGGCTAGACAAACTGACACGGATCGGGACAGGAAGACTGGAATAAGAGTTTGGAGTTCATATTGGATTTGGAGTCATGCGAAGGTTTTCACAAAGGAATTATAGGAACAGATTTGGATTCTGTAAGACTTGATTAGACACTGTAGAGTCTAAGCCTACGCACAAACTTTCAATAACAACCCAACGGTAAAAGAATATGATGGTATAAAAAAAAATAAGTCCAAGGGTCAGGCATGCTGGTGAGTGCCTTTAATCCCCACCCCACCGCCCCACAAAAGAAACAGAAGCATGAGCTGAAAGATATTGAGAAG